ATCAACACATCCTTTTGGACTGTTTCAAGATGATTTTACACCATGCATTATAGTACTAAATAATAGTTCAATCTATTTAACGGCAAGGAGCACCTTTGAGCCAGCTTGCACCCCAAAATAAATGGCAACACTTCACGTTCCAATTCAAGTGGCAGAGGAGCTTGTTCTTTCCTACCTTTGATTGTATGGATAATGAAAAGCTACAGATCATTTGAAAAAAGATTGTACCACACCATTGATTGTCATGATATGTAACCATGATTTTGGACAAGAGGCTACTGTTAAAAGATATGGAAACAATGGTTTCCCATCGGTGTACATATGAGACAAGGGTATATTTTATTTCCCTGTCTGTTCAATCTGGATGAAAACATAATCATGCTAGATTAGATCCAGATGAAGGAGGAATGGAAATTAGTAGAAGAACAGTCAATAACTTGAGATACGTAGAGTGAATGTCTCTTAGTCTGGTGTCTCATATTTGGCCATTCTGCTATGTTACCCAGCTAGGAGTCTAGATACACAACAGAGTCTAGCTTCCTAACAATATTGCTCTCGGATTTCTGGATGTACTCAGATATAACCATACCTACTGCATTAGTGTGTGCATCTAATATATATATATGATTGTAAGCTAGCAAACATTTGAACAAGGCCTCAAACAATGGCCTAAATCCTATTATTTATGCCTGCTGGTGTAAGTTCCTTGGTGTAAATCTCAGAGACTAATTGCTGCTAGTTAAGAAATTAGTACAGTACTTGCATTTCTCCTTGGGCACCAGTCATGCTCTAGTTCCTCCATGCTCCCTAGAGTTATAATGTTATCAGCACTCCACTGCCTGAATTATATCTCTGCCGGTGGCTCATTTTTAGAAGCCTGTAATTGGGGAGTGAGAGACAGTGTGGTCTAGCTGACAGAGTGTCAGACTCAGGAGACAAAATTCTGCTCAGCCACATAAATTCAGTGGGGTAGCATGGTAAACCTTGGACATCTCACACACTTTGAATGCTCTGTTAGGCTGCCTGAAGTCAGAAGCAACTTGATGACACATAACAGCACTACTGCACAAATGGGGAGGCCCAATATGAGCCTATTAGATTTTGTTAAGGCCTTGCTACTGGTCCTCCATAATTTGAGAACTGCAGGAGTCAAAATGTGACTGGGCATTTTTACAATGTAGTTCATAGCTATCTATGTATCTGTATCTATTTTTATTTTAATAATTATGTGTCATCATACTGATTACAACTTATGGCAACCATTTTCAAGGTTTTCTAGATAGAGAGTACTCAGAAGTGGGTTACCTTTCCCTTTTGCTGGTGATACCCTGGGATTGTGCAGCTTGCCCAAGGCCACACAGGCTAGCTCTTCTCAGTGAGGAATTGAACTTCCACATCAAGCTCCACAAACACCTAACTCACTGAGTTATTCAGCCAACTTCATCTGTATCTTGGGAGAGGGGCTGTTTCAAAGTCCTTTTCTGAAACAGTTAAGTCTATATCTTTGTGGAGAACAGGATATATTTCTGTGTGAAACTGACTAGCAAAGGTGCATGACTAAGAACAGAAAGGACTTTTTAAAATCATCTTACCGAATTCATTGCTAGAGCAGAAGATTCCAAATGGTACAGGAAAACAGCAAGGCCTAAATCCAATGTTGTTGAGCACCAGGGTGATGGAAGTGCTAATGTTGGACTCCACCCTACCCCAAAATTCTTGAAAGCCCAGGAATCTCCAGAGCTGTTTGTGAATGCACAGGAGCTGCAATGGGTAGATGGAGTTGCCTCCATTCCTGGTTATAGTGGTGCCTTCAATTTAATGGTCACATGGCCCTTTTCTGATCCCTCCCCCCATAACTGTGTAAGATACTGCAGAATGGCCAGCACCCTTTTCTGATTTTTTTCCCCCCGGAACTGTGTAAGATACTGCAGAATGGCCAGCCAGGGCACCATGTGAAGATCAATTTAATAAGTCTGTCATTCAATTCTAGCCCAAAGTGCAAAAAAAAGTTAAAAGACAGATTGCAACTAATAAAATATTCTAACATTCAGCAGATATGTAAGTCTAAAAACAAGGGAGATAGTCACCACAAGCCTCATTCCAGCAGTTCAAATGTCTGCCAAAACAAATTTGGCTGAAAAACAGGGAAAGAAAAAGATAGATGGTAAAATGGAAGTCTGAAGTTTCATTATGTAGGTAACAGTAATCAAGAAGGCTTTTCTCAGTTATAGCCTTAACTGGACCAATGTTATGACATGAAGGAGAACATCCTCGAAGTGCGTAGTATTTTCATTTATATGCCATTCTTTTTTCTGAAGATGTTCAGAAGGGCACACCACAATACCATTATATACAGTATATAACAAAGAAGAACAATTAAAAAAATTCATGTCAGTGATAAAAAAATGCAAAAAAAGTTTAAAGAATTCTATTTATGTACTGCTTGCCATTTCAAAAATGGTATCTTGAAAAGTGTGGAGAGAAAAAGAAACTCAGTTTAAAGGAACTAAGCTATTTCAACTGCAAAATGCTAAATAATGATTCAATCATTTCTAACACAAATGCTTTTTTAAAGGATAAGGAGAGGATAACCCACTATTGGATTAGGCATCCTTCAGTCTTGAAAGACTGTGGTAATGTGCTGTGTATGGAGGAATTGGAACAGTGTCAGGTGTGGCTAAGAAGGCCAATTCGAGAGTGACACACTCCCTGATTTTGCTGGTTTCGGGACTGCCTCTTTGTTTCGGCCTGCTGGACAAGTGTCTCTTCAAAATGTGAGAGGCCATGATGCACCACCTGCCTCTAGGCTGAATGCTCAGACGTCAAAGTTTCCCATCTCTTGAGGTCCATTCCTAAAGCTTTCAGATCCCACTTGCAGATATCCATGTATCACAGCTGTGGTCTCCCTCTGGGGTGATTACCCTGCACTAATTCTCCATACAGGAAATCTTTTGGAATCCGATGATCAGCCATTCCCATGATATGCCTGAGCCAACGTAGACAACGCTGTTTCAGTAATGTATACATGCTAAAAATTCCAGCTTGTTCTAGGACTACTCTATTTGGAACTTTGTCCTGCCAAGTGATACCAAAAATGCATTGGAGACAACGTATATGGAATGTGTTCAGCTTCCTGCTCTGCACAAAGGGTCCAGGACTCACTGCAGTATAGGAGTGTGCTCTATAGACCTGGATCTTGGTATAGGCCATCAACTTCTTATTCAGCCATACTCTCTTTGTGAGTCTTGAGAACATGGTAGCTGCTTTGCCAATGCATTTATCCAGCTCAACATCTAGGGAGAGAGTGTCAGAAGGTACACAAAGATAGCCAAGGTACGCAAAGTCATGAACAACCTCCAATTCTTGTGTGGAGATGGTAATAGAGGGACATGAGTCCATGCCCCGACCCTTGACTTGTCTTCAGGCTGATTGTTAATCCAAAGTTTTGTCAGGCCTTGCTAAAACAATCCATGAGTTGTTGGAGGTCTTCAGTAGAATGGGCAATAACAGCTGCATCATCGATGAAGAGGAAGTTCTGCATGCCTTTCAGCTAGACTTTGGTCTTCGCTCTCAATCTAGAGAGATTAGAGTGCTTTCCCGCTATATTTAATTTGATTTGATAAAATTTAATAAATAATAGCTAATAATTAAACTTCCATGTTCAGAGACAGTATTTTTTTGATTATCAGGTATGGAGTAAAAGTTTAGGATTAATGTTTTCACTAAATTCTGTATGGAAGGCTCCTAGAGACAGTTGCCAACCCTGAAGACAATGGCTTAGAACCTTAGTTGTTTCTCTGTTCTGTGAAGTGTGTGTGTGTCTGTCAGGGTGGTTCCTGACAGCTTTCACCTCTACCTGTAGCTTACCGTGCTCTGTATCCTATATTATTTCCATGGGTCACATCCATTCTTGCCAGAAGCAATCTTTGGAAGTTGTAAGTCAAAACATCCATCTTGCTTTAAATCATATCTTGAGGTTAATTATCAAAATTGGAATGGGAGGCAAGACAATTATAATAATTAGGTGTCAGCAAGTCAATTCCGACTTATGGGGTTTTCTTAGTACAGAGTATTGAGAAGTGGTTTACCATTTTTCTGGGGGCACTCAGGGATCACTGTGCTGCGTACCTAGAGATGGGGGGTACTTGTATACGAATACAAATACCCCCCCACAGGTGGAGATAACCAGGGTCTCTATTTATCCAAGGTCACACAGCTCTTTTCCTGGGAGGCACAATGTAGAATTAATTGTTTTTTATTACGTGTTTTGTGAGCCGCCCAGAGTAGACTATGTCTAAATGGGCGGCATATAAGCTCAATAAATAAATAAAATAAATACATCCGGCCATCTGGCCCTGAAGCCAGGTACCCAGCTCACTTGAATGGTCCAGCCAGCTGGAGAGACATTAGATATTCTGTGAGGAGAAAAATAGCATAGAAATAATGTACACACACATATACACACACAAATACATACATGAAAATTACATTACTGATGTTTAGTTGTCGAGTCTTTGACTTTTTATGTAGTTTTTGCTGCATCTACCAAAGCTACCCTCCTTTATCTTGTTTTTTGGGGGTGCTTTCTTTTCAGCTTTCCTGAAAAGATGATAATAAAAGGACTTTAGGAACCTATTTTTGTCTTACGTATATATAAGAATTCTTTTGGAAGCTGGAGATGCACATTCTTCATCATTTCTGTTCCCTGTAGAGCTAAGGGCAGAATTATGGGCTGAGGCTGTTTACCTTGTTCTCCCATACAGTTTCTAATCCATGGGTGTGGTGAAATTGTGTGATAAGTACCTGTTTATGGTCCACAGAAATAGCTGTGCAGAGTTTAAGGCAAAGTAATATGAAACCAGTCTTGTAGCTTGGTGTTCACTGGCTGAAATCTGCATTCTGGACGAAACTTGCAGCAAAGCGGAAGACTGAATTTTTTTTATTCAGCTTCAAGGGCACTACATTCAGTGAGTTGAAGATTTTCAGCAGTCGGAACTCGCCACAAGTTAAAAGAAGGCACTTTTCAGTGACGATTTGGAAGCTTTTCTCTTCTACCAGGATTTTCCAGCTTTCTAATATCTGCCCCCCTTTGAAAGTTTTGCTGAAAGTGGCTTTTGGCCACAGCGAGGAAACTTACAAGAAATTTCCAGCACATTCCTGCTCATAGATTTTTGTGATTCTTCGGACGGCATAAGGAAGTAGCAAACTGCAAGTACTAGCTGTTACTACTAAAAAAAAAACCTGTTGTTTTTTAATTGTACTTTCTAGCAAGCAAAAGACTGTAGAACTGACAGAACAGTATTGCAATGACCGATCGTGTTCTCAGCTGATTAGTTTACAGGAGATTTGCCTTGACAAAGAAGGCCCTTTGTGTTTAAGAGGTGTAGCTCTTGAGAAAGTTTTGGTATGCGACGACATGAAAAATCTTCACATTTCTGCTGTGTTCAAATAGTAAAGTTTGAAAGAATTTTACATTTCAGATCTCTTCAGAACACCACATTGTAAGAGACAGAACAGTATGTGATCTTGGGGAAATGTCATTATTGTGTAATTTAATAGAACATATTCCCTGGGAGTAATCACAGTATCTGTACCAGTATTTATTTGAACAGTAGGACTACTACTGTAATTTGCCCACCATGGAAGCAAACCAAACATCTGACAGAAGTGAGCTCTCCAATCTAGAAAAAACAGCAGAGTCTGAAGCAGGCCAGAATCTCTTCACCAAGTTCTCTATGAAAACGCTTTTTGGATTTACAGCAAAATTGGAATCAGGAACTTCAAAAGAACAAGCAGTTCTGAAAAGTTTTCAGAGTATTGATGGTGATATCAACAGCCATGCTGACAACCAGAAAGAGAAACACACTATTAGTGGAGACAATAATCCAGATACAGTTCATTTACTTCCAGTAATGCCACAGCCTGAAAGTGCAAGCAGCGATCAAGCCACTCTGCAAGCTAGCTCCACATTTAGTTTGCAGGGTGATTTCACTGCCCTTGGTGTCTCAGGGTTGAGTGATTATGCTCCAAATGGCCTAGAAGCTGTTGATGCAGCCTCTAGTAGTTGTAAAACTGATGTTGGGATCCCTGTTGACTCCAGAGTCACAGATGATAACTGTATTGGAGATGTAGACACTACCCATGCATCAGATGGCCACGGGGCTGATGTTTATGGCCTTGCTTACTTGGAACATGAAGAAATGCAACAGAATGGACCTTCTCTTTCCAATTTAGGCTTTGTATGCCCTCCTTTGTCTGAAGTCAGCAAACAAGATGACAAGGAATCAATTATTGTTCAGGGTACTTTGGTTCATACAACAAGTGACACTGAGTCAGACAGTGAGGCTACAGGCCCTGCCAAAGATGACAATGTAACAAACAAATCTGTGTCTTTGGAGAATAATGACAAAAATAAAGAGAAGCAGGTAACAGAAGGAGACAGAGAAACGGATGATACTATAAATGGAGATAACACCAAGCAAACTGTGTCAAATTCTATATTGCCTTCAACAGATGGGGATGATACACCACAGGAAATATGTTCAGATACCAGAAACCTAATAGTAAATAATAAGGGCATAGTTAGCTCACCTGCTACAGGAGAGGATATGCAGGAGCCAAGAGAAGAGCAAGATTCTCTTACAAGCATTTCCAGCACTGAATCTCTCCAAAAACCAGCTTCAAGTGAGAAGACCTTTCAGCTTCCCGCCTTTTTTAGTGGGTTACGTGTACGAAAGAAAGGATCTTCTGCTGATGTGGAGGAGACCGTTACAGAAATCAAACAGAAGGACAGTGAGTTGGCTATGCTCAAATTAAGACAACCTGTTAAGAATTCCCATATTGCACCAGAACTGATAATGAAAAGGAAACCAGCAGAACCCAAAGCTGCTCCTACCTTTTTGGAACAACTGTCTCAACTCTTAGGGCCTAAAACTGAGGATAAAGATTCTTGTGAGGTAATCAGTGACTCTGGCAGCCGTGAGGATAGCCAAGGAAGAAAATCTCCAGTGAGAGTGGAACCTACCAGTACTTCTGAGGAGATAAAGCCAAGTCCTGCTGAATCTGCATTGGATGCATTTAAAGCTTTATTCACACGGCCTCCGAAAAGAGAGACAACTGCAGACCCTTCAGAACTGGAAGCAATAAAACGTAAAATGAGACATGAAAAAGAATCGCTTAAGGCAGTATTCGAAAGATCTATATCAAAATCTGGTGATGGAGCTGCAGACACCAAACCAGTAGGTTGATTAACTTTCTTTGTGACTGGAGGGTATAGATTTACTTATGAATTCTAATTTCGTGATTTGATGGGTACGAGATGAACTCGTCATGGTATATGCTTTTGTAGAAAGACCCACCAGTGGCCTCATGAAACTAAGACTGGAATTATTTATTTTTCAGTACTTACCATCACAACATCAAACATTATTAATGAATGCTATGCAGTAAAGACAGTATTGCATGAAATAAACAAACCAACAAACTCCTTGAAGGTGGTGAAAATTTAGGGCATTATTTATATCTAAATTCTTCTTTAACATGCAAAATGCTACAATAATTTGATATATTATTCGAAATAACATAGTGAAATAAATTTTGAGCCTATTTTGTATTTCTAAAATGAAAAATGGAAGTAAAATAATTATTAATTCATCTATAGTTAGTTGTGTAAGTCTGGCTTACCTGAAATTTGGACCTTAGCTTTTTTTTTTTGTTCAAATCAACCATATTCTAATTGTATTAGCTGGCAAATGCTAAGCATCACAATAGTAAAATGAATGAATATATATTTATATTCATTATTATATCTCTGTCCAGCCTTTTGTCCTAGATGTTTGTCTGAAGGCAGCATACATGGTGTGTTCTCACCATCACCGCACATTCTGCCCTCAGAAAAACTCAGTGAGATATTAGGCTTTCAGACTGACACTTTTTTGAGTGAGTTGAGATTTCAGCCTGGATCTTCCCAGTCTTTTCTTACCAATCTGACAATGAAATCTTGCTCCACTGTGATACTGTGTTCTCCAGGACTGGGTAGTACTTTCATATTCAAATATATTTGAGTTAGAATGTGATGGGGACACACGTGCCTGTCTACCATAAAGAGAATGGAAAATCCTGTGCATGTGGACCACCTGTTTACTTTGATTGTCTTGTAGGAGCATGCAAATAAAAATTACAGGTAGTCATATTGGTCCACTATGAAACACCCCCCAAAAGTAACAGTAGATACTATCTTTATTGGAACTGACCACTATGACTCAGTTCTCGGGCACCTCTAATTCTTTGGCAGGCTAAGCTTTAAGCAGAAGGTGAAGGGTGAATCAGAAGGTGAATCATGATGAATAAAAATTGTTAATCATTATCATATGTTTATATTTTAATATTTCTTGCCTTATTATTATATAATAATATTTTGTGTTTGCATTTTTTTAAAAAAATCAGATCGATGCAATCCCCTCAGAACAGGATGACAAGACTCCAGGAAGACTCCAGACTGTCTGGCCACCACCCAAAGCAAAAGATGAGGAAGAAAAAGTAGGATTAAAATATACTGAAGCAGGTAATATGGAATAGTGAAATTTCTGTTCCTAAACTGGAGTGTTAAAATCAGGTTCCTCACAAGAATCAACGGTATTATTTCTTGTGCTTTAATTAACTTTTCAACAGCTGTCACAGATCAAAATGTTGTTATAGGTAAATTGGCCTTAAATGATGCAGCTCTGTGATTGCAGCATTTAACCTGTGCAAAATGCCAATGTCAAATGATTTTGAAAAAGGAATAAAAGGCTTGCAATGGTAAATGTTTCAGAGATGTAGAAACTGTGTTTGCAAATCATTATTTTGAATATTTATTTGTCTAAATATATCATATTTAAGAGACAGTGGCTGAAATCCTGTTTATTTACCGGTATGTTACCTGTGTGTAAGGCTAATGATGTCACCAACTAGGATGATGTTATGGAAATTAAACATTTCCTACTTTTGTCCCAAGGCACCCATGATGCCTGCATACCATGTTTTTCCATTTATAAAACACCCCCCACACACATTTTTCTAACCCAAAAATTAAGAAAACCTAGCTTTGAGTATTCAGCTTCTGGGCTCAGAACACTTGGACATTAGGAGTCCCTGTTGTATCTGAGCCTACAGGCTCCACCTACAACTTGGTGTGTTCCAGTTGGTTTGCTCAGCATCAGCTGACATAAGTTCCATAATACTTGTAATTGGAGGAAGCTAAGTCTCCTGACTATAGGAAGCTAAGCCTTATGACTGAAGGAAACTTGTTTATAGAGGCAAGCTATGGGCAATTTTGTTCTCTCCTCAACTTACTGCCATGTATAAGATGCCTCTCAATTTTTAGTGTAATGATTTTAGGAAAAAGTAGTGTCTTATACATGAAAAAATATGGCTATTTCGTTCATAATTGGGAGCCTGTGGCAGCTTCAGGATAGATGAAGCAATTCTTTATTTACTGAAAAATCACAGCTACCAGGAGAAAAGCGTCATCCTTACATGGTGAAACATACATGAGCATGATTTCAGCCAGAGTGTTTCAAGCCAGTGGAAGCCAGCAGATGGAGAAGTTGCTATGGCAAATTCTTTGCTTTGGAGTACATCAAAATTGGGGCATTAAATTGCCAACTTCTTCTACTCTGTTTTTAAATTAAATAATGGATTTAAGATGTCTAGTAGTTGCTCCAAAGGAAGGGAAAAAGAGGGGATCTTCACCAACTGCCTCCTTCCTTGGAATCTCCAATACCCAACTGTGATGGAAGGCCTAGCAACTTACTAGAGGAGATTTTGGAAGGATGTTAGTGACTGAAGGAGGAATAAACAAAGATGGCCACTGCCTCCATTCCACCAACACAATTGCTGTTCTGAATCAGAATCTTCTTTGTGATCTCTGTGTATGCACATAAATGGGTTCTGCACTCTGCAGATGATCCTATGGAATGTTCTAGAGTCTAAGTCTCTGTAGTCTATAAAATGCATGCTCCACCCATTCCCTTCAGTCCCTTTTTGATCTGCCACATAGATCCTCTCTATTGCTCTAGAGCAGTGGTTCTTAACCTTGGGGTTATTCAGGTGTTTTTGGACTGCAACTCCCAGAAGCCTTCACCCCCAGTTGTGCTGGCTGGGATTTCTGGGAGTTGCAGTTCAAAAACACCTGAGTAACTCAAGGTTAAGAACCACGGCTCTAGAGCCTAAAAGCAAGGATCATTTCTTATATTCCTTTCTAAAACTTACCTTCCTCATAGTTTCTGCTCTTTCTATATTTTGTAGCCTTTTTTAAAAAAGAGTTAATTACAGTGGTGAAGTATTTCTTTCCCTTTTTCCCTTCCCTCCCCCATACTAACAGTTAGTTCTTAGCAGTTTATGGCCTCAGCTGGGAGCAAGTATAGCTCAATGTTAAATCATCTGCTTTGTGTGTGAAAGGTGCCAGATTCAATCCTTAGTGTCTTTAGATAGGGCTAGGAAAGAAATCTGTCAGAAACCTGAAAGAGCCACTCCTAGTCAGAATAACAGTACTAGTGATGGGGTAGATGGACCAATAGACCAAAAATGATCTGAAATGGTATAAGGTAGCTTCCTATCCTCCTGAAACCCAGGCCCTACTGCGTATGGATAGGATGAGATCCACTGGCTTGACAAGGGTTTTGCCACATCTCTGTTGCCTGTTTGTTATCTACAGGGAAAGGAGACTTGGAAAAAATGATTTTATAAAGGCAGTTTATTTTTCTTACTTGTTAAGTTTTATATTGTGTTAATATAAAAAGTTACCTGTTCAATTTCAGTAGAATAACATTAGAAAGGTGGGGAAATGTCAAATCCTTAGTACGTGTCATTGTTGTTGCATTGCTTTGTGTGGCAACTGTAAATATGCTAAATGTATTCTGATCTGCTTAAGGGCTTGGATTCTTAAACTGTATCCATACTTACTCAGTAAAGGAATGATAGGCCTGTAGCAATAACTAAAGACAAAGTGTGGCAGAAGTACTTACATTCACAGAAGTTTGGCAAAGAGTGTGGTTATATATATTTATAGTATGTGTGGTTATAGAGGCTTGCTTATTTATTTATTTATTTGTTTATTTATTTATTTATTTATTTGGTTGGTTGGTTGGTTGGTTGGTTGGTTGATCCATTGGTTTATTGGTTGGTTGGTTGGTTGGTTGACTCATTCATTCATTCATTCATTCATTCATTCATTCATTCATTCATTCATTCCTTCATTCATATATCACCCATCTAACTAACAGTCACTCTGGGTGGTTATGTTCATGCCATTCATGTACTGTACAGAGTTTCGGATTCCTTCCCACAGAAGATGCATAAACATAGTAATCTTACATTCCAACTAACAGTCACGCTGGGTGGTTATGTTCATGCCATTCATATACAGAGTTTTGGATTCCTTCCCACAGAATATGCATAAACATAGTAATCTTACATTCCAATTAGGATCAGTGATCTGAGATAGCCACACATACTTTTGTTGTGCATATTGTTGGTAAAATCAGCATTGTTGTTGTTTTTATTGGGTTGTGAGTTATTGAGAAACCGACAGAGCATGAGATTCCGTCCAGAGGCTGTATACTGTATATCTGTGTTACACAGGATGATCTTTTCCTTCAACTTTCCATGGTGCTTTGAATATGAAAATACGCTTTCCTCATCCCCACAGTATAAATGTAGATGCATATAACAATGCAGTGTAGTTATTTGTGTGTATGCATCTGTTTGCAGATATGTCTAGACACTCAGTTGGGCTAGCAACTGTCAGGAAGAGCAATCTGCTAAATAAATTAATTAATGGGTAAACAAAAGCTGGTACTCTTCATGCCTAGGTGGTAAGAACAAATGGGAGGTGGAGAAAATTGTTTAAGGACATAAAAACTGATGCTTTAAAAAGGAAGTGAGATTGAATAAGATTAGATAGTCAAGGGAGAAGACAAATTGCACCCAGTGAGAGAAATAGAGATGGAAAAAAATGAAACTATGTTTGAACCACATGTCGATTGCAGAATGAGACTTGTTACTGCTATACATAGTATTATTGAATTTTTAAGCATTTATGTTAAATGTTTATGTTTCTGAAACAGAATAGAATTTAACCTGAAAAGTCATGAAAAAGTGGTAAGATCAAGATGTCAGCCACTGACTTTATATTCTAGGATTCCAAAACAATTCATACCTTGTATACTCGAAACTCTTCAATAGCATTTCCCGCATTCATGTTTAATGTATTTCTCCAAAGCTAGCATTAAGCTATGAATTCCACCCCCCAAAAAAACTTAGTATCTAGTAAGTAACACAAAACAAAAGCAGCAATAGTCATAGAGAATAACATATATTTAATTAGAGAGTGCAGCTAGTGGAGACTGTTTTGACTCCATGGATCCTCAACTGTGGGGTCCCATGTAGGTTAATTATCTACCCAATGCTGTTTAACATCTATGTAAGGTCACTGGGTGAGGTCCTCAGATGATCTGGAGCCTCATGTCATCAGTAGGTGGATGATACACCACTCCATTTCTCTGTTAAATCATGTGCAGTGAATTCTGTACAGTGGTTAGAAGGATGCATGGGCACAGTACTGGACTGGATTAGGAGGAACCGGCTGAAATGGAATCCAGATAAATGAAGGTCATACTTCTGGAGGGTCCCTCTCCTTGTCTAGGGGTGGTTCATCCCCCCCTCCCACTTGATGGATTTACCCTGTTCCTCAAGAATCAGGTGCACAGTTTGGTTGTGATCTTATATCCAGTTCTGACTATGGAAAAATAGGTCTCTGCTATGACATGTGCTCCTTCATGGATTGCTGCCTTGTCGTGGCGAAGGGGCTTGAGTAACTCAGAGAAGCTATAGGCTATGCCGTGCAGGGCCACCCAAGACGGACAGGTCATAGTGGAGAGGTCCGACTAAACACAATCCACCTGGAGTAGGAACTGGCAATGCCACTCCAGTATCTTTGCCAAGACCGCCCCATGATCAGAAACAAAAGGCTAAAAGATATGACGCTGGAAGATGGGCCCCTCAGGTCAAAAGGCTTCCAACATGCTACTGAGGAAGAGCGGAGGATAAGTACAAGTAGCTCCAGAGCTAATGAAGTTGTTGGGTCAAAGCCGAAAGGACGCTCAGCTGTGGACGTGCCTGGAAGTGAAAGGAAAGTCCAATGCTGCAAAGAAAAATACTGCATAGGAACATGGAATGTAAGATCTATGAACCTTGGTAAGCTGGAGGAGGTCAAGCAGGAGATGGCAAAAATAAACATCGACATCCTGGGCATCGATGAACTAAAATGGACAGGAATGGGCGAATTCAACTCAGATGATTATCATATCTACTATTGTGGGCAAGAATCCCGTAGAAGGAATGGAGTAGTCCTCATAGTCAACAAAAGAGTGGGAAAAGCTGTAATGGGATATAATCTCAAAAATGATAGAATGATGTCAATACGAATCCAAGGCAGACCTTTCAACATCACAATAATCCAAGTTTATGCACCAACTACCATTGCTGAGGAGACTGAAATTGAACAATTTTATGAAGATTTAC